AGCATCAATATTACACTTGTAAATTTGCACTTGTTTACTCAATATAAGTTTATATTCCATATCGGTTTATTGATTATTGACCTATACATAATTGACATTAGACATTAGTAGGAGCCTCCGGTGGCATAATGGGTTAAACACTTGTACTGGCAGGACTGCTGACCGAAAGCTTGGCAGTTCGAATCTGGGAAGTGGGGTGAGCTCCCATCTGTCAGCTCCAGCTTCTCATGTCTCTGTATCTGGCTAGTGGTCCAAAAGGGAGTCAATTGTTGAATTGATTTAAGTTAGAACTTAACCAGGAGCCGAAGTGTCACAGTGGGTTAAACCCTTGTGCCTGCTGAACTGCTGATCTGATGGTCTGCAGTTTGACTTCGTGAGACAGTGTGAGCTCATGTCTGTCAGCTCCAGCTTTCCATGTGGGGACATGAAAGAAGCCTCCCACAGGATGGTAATACATCCAGGCGTCCCCTGGGTAGCATCTCTGCACACAGCCAATTCTCTCACACCAAAAGCAACTTACAGTTTTTCAAGTCGCTTTTGACATGGTAAAAAAAAGTTAGAACTAGTATTTGGATTTAGATTCCTAAAGAGAGCAGCTAGGCAATCCTAGTTGTTACCAGTCAGTCACAGACCAGGGAAGGCTATAAAGGGAGGCCTATGGGGAAGAAATGACAGAAGTTGGATAAGAGAAAGATGTTGTTGTTGTGTGCCTTCAAATTAATTCCTATTTATGGTGAGCCCAAGATGAACCTATCACAAGATTTTATTGGCAAGATTGGTTCAGAATATGTTTGCCATTGTCTTCCTTTGAGGCTGAGAGAATGTGACTTGCTCAAGGTCACCTAGTGGGTTTCATGACCGAGAAGGGATTCACACTCCCGTATCAACAGCCCAACACTCAAATCACTACACCACACCGGTTCTCAAAGGTAGAGATAGGAGAAAAGGTTGCAAAGAAACAGGGGGAAGATAGCCTGGGATTAAGGAAAGGACTGCAGAAAGGTAAGGGAAAGATGGCAAAGAGAAAAGGAAAAGATTGCAGAGAGGTGTGGAAAGGGTTGTAGAAAGATAGGGAAATGACATAAAGATAGGAAAAAAGCTGTGATACAATCAGGATAGTCTGCTTGTTGAGTGATTTTGGCTACTGCAAGAACTCAAGGTTCAGAGCCTAAAGGATCAAATGAGACACAGATGGGATGAAGGCAAAGATCAAAGGCTTTATTTTCCCTTGGCCAAAAGTGGATGTCAGCAGAAAGCTGACATAAATGCAATTGTGAACATACATATTTATTTATAATGCCCTGACAGCTATTAAAAATAAAGACATTCTGCCACATTGGCTTTTGATTGTTCCAAAATACTGGCAGCCAGAATCTGATGTCCAATTGGAGAAGGCACACAGTCCATTGTTCTTTATGATTGGCTCTCAGGCACTGTGGGAAATGTAATAAACTGTCATTGGTTCATTTGAAGGCTTTGTCTGTTTATTGATCTGCCCAGGAGAAGGGTGGGTGCGGAAAGGAATTCAGTTGGGTAAAGCATAATGGTTTTTAATGGGTGTTTGTGAGTTTTGATGTTTCTGTTACAGCCAGAACAATGGGGACCCTGGGAGGGGGGTCTGATCTAGAAACAGAGGTGAGAAAATCCTCCCAGGAATATAATAGGCTCTTCCTAAGCCTATTATGTGTTCTGGATGTCTTCTCAGGGCAGTGTGAAAGGTTTATGTTAACTAATTTTTGGACATTTCATGCCCAATGTTCCCACATTTCTACAGCTCCCAAATTCTATCATCTCCCACAGAAGAAGGAAGGCACTAGGATCGCTCTCCTCACTGCCCTATTGCCAAGCATAATCACACAGACTGCTAAGTAGCAATTTGACAGTGTCAGAAAATGATTTAAATGGGGAAGAGGGCACACAAGGATAATAATTCTCAAGTGCAATTATTTCAATTTAAATCAAATGCCTCACCTTTACTGAGATTATTGGAATGGTATAGTGATGGGAACAACATGACCCCATTGTCTCGTATGATGATAGCATTTCTACGTGTATGTCTACTACAATGGAAGGAGGGGATTGTGTGCACACATGGGCATGTATACAGTGTGAACATATTGATATGTAAATGTGCACAAATGACTGTACATACATGCTCAAGTATGCCCCCCAACATACGATGGCTGAAAGTAATGTCTCCACCTTCGTAACTCCTCAACAGATGGCAGTACTGGTATGCGATAGGTACTGGCTTGTTCAGTAGACTCTCCTCAGTAGCTCCATTTTGGCAGGAAGCCTTAGCATTGAATGGTTGTGTTGTTAAAGTACAAAGTATGGAACCCTGCACAGGCCTTCAGCAACTTAAACAACATGCAGTCACTGAATTCTTGACAGCAGAAGGTGTCACCCCAAAGGAAATTCATTAGAGAATGCAAGCTGTTTATGGTGATTGTGTTGATGTGAGTACTGTGCGTCGTTGGGTGAGTAAGTTAAAAGATGTTGAGGTGGGAACATCTGATTTACATGACAAACAAAGAGTTGGAAGTCCTGTGACAGCAACCACCGAGTTTCACAAGAAAAAGATTGACAGATTGATTCAGGATGATTGTTGTATCACCAGAGAGAAATTTCAAGCATAATCGGCATTTCACAAGAACGTGTGGGTCACATTATTGCTTTGCTTGTCTATCGGAAGATCTGTGCATGATGGGTTGCGGAAGCAGAATGTTGATTTCTTCCGTGACAGCTTCAGGAAACTTGTTCATCGTTGGTAGTAATGTATCCAGTTGTCTGGTGATTATGTGAAAAAAGTGAATAGTGGTAGTTAAAGAGCACATTCTAAGGATTATTTCTGTGCTTGATTTATTAAAATATCCCCATCCAAACTCAAGTAACAAAGGTGGAGGCATACTTCTCATTCAACCCTCATACTATCTCTCACTATTTTTGGTTCATGGAGATAAAACATTGCCTAGCTTGACAAGTAAAGAAAGACTAGAATGAGAGAAAGATACAACTGTGAATCTTTGTGCAGTGAAGAAAGGCAATTACTGGAAAAGGCATAAAGATATACAGGAAGATAGGACAACACTCTTTGTGGTACCTGGATCTTTTCAACTTCTGTCTTTGACAGTGATTTACACAATAATAGTTTCATGACAACCCAGGCAAATTAGGACGGGTGGATGGCAGCATCCCAAGTTTATGCAGTGTGAGCATCCTGACTGGCCAGAGATTTTAGCACAGGCTGACCACTTTCAAACACTTCACTCCAAGCCCTGGTGCACAGTGGTCAGTCCCCATACATGTAACTGTATTTTGTTCTGTATTTAGTCTTTGTCTGGCATCATGTGCACTCATAATGCACTTATACATAGAAGAGAGCTTCCCCAAAGTTTTAGACATGCATCATTTTGAAATACAGCAATTCAGTTTTACTGGCAAATCCAGTTCAATGCAGTTCAACCTGCAGTATGTGAGTCTATGGGCCCTTCCGCACTGCCACTTTATCCTAGGATGTGATCCCAGATTATCTGTTCATCCTAGGTTATCTGGCAGTGGGGATTCATATATTCCAGTTTAAAGCAGATAATCTAGGATCAGCTCATGGGAGAAAGGGCAGTGTGGAAGGACCCTATACTGACCATTATAATGCAGTTCAAACTGCATTATATGGCAGTGTAGATGGGGTCTCTGTCTATACCTCAAAGGCTGTTCTAAGATAAAGTGACTCTCTGTGAAGTCATTGGGAGAGCAAGGTAGAAGGGAGGGGAAGGAAGGAAGAAAGGAAACAGCAACAAAGAGAGCATGCCCACCTTTGCCAGAGGAGTGTTGCCATGGAGACATTGTGGGGTAGGCTCCCTCAGAGCTGGAGTAGGGAGGAAGCAGGTGGGCAGCAGCCCCCCCCCCATTACACATCTGGGCAAGTAGTACCAATGCAGTGTTTCCCAACCTGTGGTCCATGGACCACCAGTGGTCCACAAGAACGAAAATATGGTCCACAGCCTCACCATTACTACAATGTTGCCTTGAAACCACACGGCTACAAGTGGCTGGTCTCACAAAACCCTCTTATAGTGCCAAGGCAATGGGGATGTTGGGAAGGGACAGGCTGACTACCCATGAAAGATTACTACTATCACATTAGCTATAGATTATAAATATGGTTTTCTGTGGGCAAGCAAATGGTGACTAGATAAAGGTTTCCCGGTGACATTTAGTCTAGTTGTGTCCGACCCGGGGTGGTGGTGCTCATCTCGTTTTCTAAGCTGAAGAGCCGGTGTTGTCCGTAGACACCTCCAAGGTCATGTGGCTGGCATGATTGCATGGAGTGCTCTTGCTTTCCTGCAGAAGTGATACCTATTGATCTACTCACATTTGAATGTTTTCGAACTGCTAGATTGGCAGTAACTGGGTCTGACAACGGGAGCTCACCCTACTCCCCGGATTTGGACCTGTGACCTTTCTGGACGGCATATGTTCTGTATCAGAAACTAGAGTTGATGTGACCTATCCAATGTAATTTTCTGAATTAGCACCCCAAATAAATAACCAAACCGAATCTAAAGTTGACCAAAAACTGATTTGTAACCCTTTTGGTACTAATGATGGAGAGTGATCCCTGGTCAAAAAAAGGTTGGGAACCACAGTACTAGCAGAACAGAAACCAGTAATAATGGTGGAAAGTGATATAAGTGTAGATGTATCTCACTGCATCTACACTGCAAAAGGTGTCAAGTTTGACCCCACTTGAACTGCCATAGTGCTGTGGGATCATGGAGGTGGTGTTCTTAAAAGGCGCTGCGCCTTCTCTACCAGACTGCAGCTCCCAGGACGCCATAGCACCAGGGCAGAGGCAGAAGAGGCACCCGGCTGCATTCCTGCGGCAGTGTCGATGCATGCCTAGGCGCGCGCGCCCCTCCCAGCGGAAGGCCGGACTCCAGCTCCCGGGATGCCTCGCGCTCGCTTCCGGGATGACGCGGGGCGGCGGCGCTGAGGTGTTGACGTCTTGTGACGCAGGCCGGGTGAAAGGTCAACGAGGCCGGAGCCGGCGCCTGCCTGGTTGGTGGCCGAGCGAGGCGGCGGGAGCGGGCCCTTCCCCTCAGGCGCCCCACTCCTTCATGGCGGCCCGGAGGCTCCGGGACCTGGTGCCCCTGGGAGCGCGGGCAGGGCTGAGGCCGAGGGCGGGCCCGGCTGGCGGGTGAGTGAGGGAGGAGGGCCGGGGAAGCGAGCCGGGCGGGAGGGAGGGGAAAGGGGCCTGGGGGAGAAGCGGGAAGCCCGGATTTGGTTCTCTCCAAGGACCCTCCCACACAGCTATATAGGCCAGAATATCAAGGCAGGAAATCCAACAATATCTACTTTGAACGGAGTCCACACTGCCATGTATTCCAGTTCAAAGCGGATATTGTGGGATTTCCTGCCTTGATATTCTGGGTTATAGGGCTGTGTGGAAGGGCCTCAAGAAAAGAGCGTGTGGCGGAGCCATCTGTCGGGGGTGCTTTGTTTCTCCGTGGCAGAATGGCCCTTGTGGCCTCTTCCAACTCTTATGAATCGCCCAACACTTTGGACAGGTAAACTCAACAGGTGGAGCTTCTGCCTTTCGCCTTCTAGAATGGTAAAGTTGGGAGCGACCGCAAGGGTCACCCAGTTCGACCCTGCTCTGCCCCCTGAGCCATCCCCAGGAGGAAAAGGGATTGGCCTGTTCGCCAGGCAGCTGTTTCATAGACTCATGGAATCATAGAGTTGAAAGAGACCACATGGACCAGGCATGGGCAAACTTGGGCCCTCCAGGAGTTTTGGACTTCAACTCCCACAATTCCCAACAGCCTCAGGCCCTTTCTTTTTCCCCTTTCCCCTTAAGCAACTGAGGTGGAAGAGGAAAGGGCCTGAGGCTGTTCGGAATTGTGGGAATTGAAGTTCAGAACATCTGGAGGGCCCAATTTTGCCCATGCCTGACATGGACCATCTAGTCCAGTGGTTACCTACTTTTTTTTGAAACTTTACCAGGTGGGGAAAAGCTGTTGCCTATATTTTCAACTCTACCACTATTCAACATTAGTACCAAAAGGGTTATGAATCAGTATTTGGACATTTAGATTTGGTTTGGTTATTTGGGGTGCTGATTCAGAAAATTGCATTGGATAGACCACATCAGCTCTAGTTTCTGATACAGAACATATATCATCCAGAAGTTGCCATCTGCTCGTCCACAGAAAACCATATTTAATCATCTAGAGCTGATGTGGTCTATCCATGGGGTGGGGGTTGGTCAGCGACAGGAAATGAGTGGCAGCCGGCATGAAAGGAGTGGAAATAAAATAAAATAAAATAAAGGAGGCTCACAAACCAGATTTTCATCCTTGTGGCCCACTGGTGGTCCACGGCCCACAGGTTAAGAACCGCTGATCTGGTCCAATCCATGCCATGCAGGAAAAGCTCAATCAGAGCACCCCTGACAGATGGCCCTCCAGCCTCTGTTTAAAACCTTCCAAGGCAGGAGCTTCCATCACACTTTGAGGCAGAGAGTTCCACTGTTGAAAGCCCAGGAAGAGCATGGGAGTCAGATAGGCAGCAGCCTCCAATCTCTTCTGAGTCTACCAGGTGGAATTAATGCAGTTTGACAGCACTTTAATTGGCATGGCTCAAAACTATGAAAGCCTAGGATCTGTAGTTTTACAAGGGGCTTTTAGCCCCTTGCTGAGGCCTCATCAAACTACACATCCTCCGATTCAAAAGCATTGAGCCATGGCAGTTCAAGTGGTGCCAAACTGCATTCCTTCTATATAACCTCTTGAAATTGATATCACAAGGGTCATTTATAAACATTGTGCAGAGAGTCTTGCCACGTGGGAAGGATAGTACAGGCCGAGCATCCTTTAGCTGGAATTCCAAAATGGACAGCTGAGATAGTGACACCTTTCCGTGCACACAAACCTTGTTTCATGCACAAAATGATTAAAAATATTGTATGAGATCACCTTCAGGCTATATATGTGTGTGTGAGGTGTGCACAAAATATAAGTGAATTTTGTATTTAGACTTAGTTGCTGTCTCCAAAATACCTCATTATGTTCATATAGGTAGATACAGGTATTTCAAAACATGGAATCTAAACTATTCCCTAAGGATTTCAGACAAGGGATACTCATCCTGTAGAGAAAATGGCAGCTGTGCTTTATTCCTCCTATTTCGATTGGATGGCATTGAAGAAGTTTGGAGAGAAAAGTCTGTGTGGCTTTTAGGTCATCAAAGGAGCAGATGGCCAAAGGAGAGGTTTTTTTGAAAGGGAAGGTTCAAATATGTGGATAAGGAAGTATAAGAATATAATGGTAGTTTGTGGAGATTTATTGAATAACGTCTGGCAGGGAATTATAGCAAAAGGTGGTGTGTTGTGCATTCAGATGAATACCATTTGTAATAAAGAGTGAAGGACAAAGAGGTCAGTGAGGAAAGACAGTAATCTTTCTCAAATAATTACAGAAAGTTTGGCTAAGTATTTTTTTTGATCTAATAGAGTATGTGCATGGAAAAATGTACATATGTCTCATGTGAGATTTTTTAAAGCCACTAAGTTCTCTGTGTGTGTGTGTTTACTTTGGTAGAAATCTTTCTCCTTTAAGCATATTACTCTGATGCTGTCCCTAGCACATGATAGCCTGGTGCTATTTTGAAAGAGGGTATTTTGCCACTTGCTATTACTGGTAGTGTTTTACAAATGTGTCATCATGCAGGAATAGGGATCATGTTCCCCAGACATTGGTGAAGTGCCTGGCTTCTCCTAGACCTAATGAAAGTTGTAGTTCTGCAACTTCTGAAGAGCTAGCTATGCCACATCTTTTTCTCTCCTTTTCGCCAGAAGTAACATTCTCACCATCAACAACTGTCTTTCTGGTAATTGCTCTGCAATATACACTTTGTTGTTTTGTGTGGATTTTGTTCTCAAAATTAAGGTGCATAAAAGGACAGTGAGGTTTATATTGATGGAGGGTAAATGTAAACCTATATTGTGCTGTAGGCTGTACAATTTAGATTGTAACTTGCAGAAGGTCCTTGGACCACTCCTTATTTGAAGTTATGTCATTTCTGATGAGAGATGTGGGACACAGACTTTTATGCGTGGTTTCTTTTTAGCTTGTTGGTATCCTGTTCAAGATGGAAGCAAGGAGAATATCTAACATTTGGACAGCTAACATTTTGACACTGTTAGCTTTTTTCAAGGAAGCGCTTTCACTGGAATGTAGGGCTCATTACATTTGTACTGGTTCTAGCAAGAATGAAGAAGACATGTCCCCAACTTTAGCATATAATACTGAGTATTTGATGCTGCTTTGTTCGTTTCTCTCCTTTTTGCTGAGGATGACTGATAATGCCTAGTACTTTAGTAAACAGCCATGCCACTTTATGGAAGTTCAGACTTGAGGAAAATCTGATACTTTATTGTATTTTTTTGCTCCTTCTAACTAGAACTTGGTTAAGCAATGACCTTTTTGAGGCCACAGCCCCTGGTATCATCAGTAAACTTTGTGGGATCCTGAGTGCTGGAGTACAAAAAGTGCATTTTCTAAACGGACTGTTGTTAAGACATTGGTATCATTGGTGGCTTTTAAAATATATTCTCCTAGGATTGGGTGTTTTTTTTTTAACCTTGACTTTTAGCATAAACATGCATGTAAACAGAAAGATTGCAATGTAAATGTATGTGTAATGCATGGAAACTTGTAAATAGAAACACAGAGGGTTTTTTTCTGTAACGGTGCTAGTGGCCAACCCATGGAAGGTGCAGTAAGAATGTGAAAAGCATTGTCCTAGATCAGACCAAAGCTTTATCTCGCCCAGCACTCTACTCACAGTGGCTTACCATTTGCCTCTATGACACCCATAGCTACAATATCAAGGTAGTACTGCTGTCCAATGTATGATCCTAAGTGACCAGCAATCCAGAGGAATGTTGCCTCTGATGACAAAGAAAATGTGTACCTGTCATGAACAGTCTAGCTATGCTTGATTAGAACAAAGGCTTAGATATCCAGTTTCTTCTTTCTTAGGGTGACCAGCCTGCAAACTGTGAAACATAAAATGCAAGACATGATGTAATAGAGTCATCCCAGAGCAATATGTTGTTGATAACTGCTATCAAGTTGACTTCAATATATGGTGACTCCATAAATCAGAGACCTCCAAGTCACCCTGTCATCAAATCTTACAGAGTCAGGGCAGCCATGGCTTTCTGGATTGAGTCTGTTGATTGGGAATGCAGCATTCCTTTTTTCCTACTGACTTCTAAAGTACCATGTATTATTGACTTTTTTTAGTGAGTCATGTTTTCTCATGATACAGCAAAATATGGCAGTTCCAATTTAGTCATCTTGAGAGTTCAGGCTTGATTTGTTCTAGGACCCATTTATTTGTCTTTATAGACATGAATGGTATCTGTAGAACTCTCGTCCACCACATTTCAAATGACTTGATGTTCTTTTTATCAGCGTTCTTCACTTTTCAGCTTCCACAGCCATAAGTAGAAATTTGAAATACAATGTTGTGGGCAATCCTATAATGTTCAGTGATATATCTTTATACTTCAGAATCCTCTCTAGTTTCTTCATAGTTGTCCTTCCAAGTCTTCTTTTGATTTCTTGACTGCATCTCCATTCTGATTAATGATTGATACAAGGTAGGAAAAATCATGAATTACTTAAATGTTCTAATCATCCGCTTAAAATTATGCCAATAATCTGTGGTCATTAGGGTTAGGGTAGGGTTTTGTTTGTTCAACTGTGCCCTTTTTTCCTTGATTTTTTGAATAATCATTCCAAATCTTTAGCTGAGTCTCTTTTAAGAGAAAAAAGCAGGAAATAATAATAATAATTTGCTATTTTCTTCTAGTAGTATGGTGTCATTTAAATATCTTACACAGTTGATATTCCTTCCTCCAATTTTTCTCCATCCTTCATCCAATTTTCAATTCTCTTTCCTCTGAGTATAATCTTGCTTTACACATGATATATTCAGCATGGAAGTTAAACATATCAAGTGATAAAATTCAACCTCTCAGCTGTGGAACGCCCTTCCCACAGATATTAGACTAGCTCCATCATTATTGGTATTCCGCAAAAAAGTGAAGACCTGGTTGTTCGAGCAGGCGTTCGAATAGTTAGTGCAATGAGTGTAATGAACATAGGAATGGAACAATGGATGACGGAT